TATAATCTTAATTTTATTTTTGTCATGTAACTGAACCCAGGTCTCATAGCCTAGAACAAGGACATGTTGGAGGAAAGCCATTTAGTAGCATGACCTCAGTGCAGAGCATTGCAGGAAGGTACATTCACCTCCAATAAAGGAGGAATATCTACATCAGATGCTGTGACTTGATGTTAACAATTCAGATAATGTGGCAGCTCATGCCTAGGAGTTTAGAGTTATACAGGTGATGCCACATTTTAGTAAAGAGATCATATGTTGAAGATGGCAGTAGACAGTGGCAGCAGAGCATAGAGACCCATGGAGACTTTGAGGGGAGACATGGAGGCTGAGGAGGAGTCTGCAGAACATTGAATATCTCCAGAACAACTGAAAAAAAAGCAGGTCTTATGGAAAGATGCTTTTAAAAAGTGGACTCATGAATTTGGCAGGAAAGATGGTATAGCAGAGTGGAGAATGGTGAAATTAGAGGGACAGCAGAGAAGGGTAAGGGATGGGAGTGCAGCCACAGTGGATGAGGATAAAGAATGTCATTGCTGAACTGGACCAGTCCTCAGCCCACTAGGCCAGTGGGGTCCAGCCTGAAGCATGAAGCCATTGCTGCTGCAGTCTGCCCTGCTCCCCCTGCTTGGAGGAGAAGAGCCCTGACCCACAGTTCGGTCCATGCTGCAAGCACAATCAGGCAGCCTGAACAAAGGGCAGGGAGCTGTGTAGCCCGGAGCTAGCAAGGATCCTGTTTCCATATGCCCTGTGCAGCCCCAAGATCACTCTGACTCTGGGCAACAACAGGATATCCTAGAGGAATCTCAGCAATAGTCCAGTATTTGCAGTGCTTCAAAAACCAGAAACCTTGAACCCGACCAATGACTCAGTGCAATAAGTGTTTGCATGTAAAGCTATTTGGTCAATATATATCTCTACCTATATATATCTATATATATCATCTATATCTACATCTATCTATCTGTCTGTCTGTCTGTCTGTCTGTATACTGTATGACACACTGTGGTTTGCCTTGCCACTTCAATGAATAAATGTGCAATGGAGAGGTGGGAAAGATGGCTGGAAGAATGGAGTGAAGCAGAGAAGGGTGGAACTAGAGACACAACAGCTGAGACAGGTGTGAGAGCACAGATAGAGTGGACAGGGGAGCATGTCTTTGCTGAATAGGGCCAGCTGGTGGTGTGCAGCAGCCTGGAGCTCAAGCAGGCTCTGCCCCTGAACATGCTGCCTAGTTGGGCGATTATCCTGGATCTGAACAACAAGATATCCAAGATGGAGAATGGTTTATTATCTGGATCAGGCCTTCTCAAAATTCCTCTATGGTCCACCAGAGGCTGTGTCTATGTCCCTGGTTCATGCTGCTGCTGGAGGTCATGTTGATGTTCCTGGTCCATATTACCACCAGAGACCACATTGGTGCCTGTGGTCCATGTTGCCACCAGGGGCCACGTAGATGTTTGTGATCCATGCTGCCACCTCAGTCCATGTTGATGTCCGTGTTGAGTGCTGCTGCCTGAGGCTGTGTTGAGGTCTGTAGTCTGTATTACCACAGGAGGACATATGGATGTCTGTGATCTGTGCTCCTGCTAGAGGCCATGTTGAGGTCCAAGATCTGTCCTGCCGTTGGGGATCATGTTGTAGTCTATGTTCTATGCTGCCTCTGGAGGCCTTGTAAATATCCATGGTCTTTGCTGCCACAGGAAATCATGTGGAAGTTTATGATCTGTGCTGCTGCTTCTTGTTATGACCAAGGAAGCTTCTTTTGCAGTGGTATTGGTGACTGCAGACTCACAGCTGAGAATGAGAGACATTGAAGGCTTCTGTGACAACCTTCCCCTCCCCCCAAAAAGAAACAGTCTAGATCGGAAGTCATTGCAGAGAACCCTTAAAACTTGTGATAGGGATGCTCAAGTGTAGCTCTCCACAGCCAGTGGCTTCTGTCAGAGGACTGGGGTCGGAAATGGCTCAGTTATCTTTAAGGGGGTGGCCACTGGGAGTTTGACCATACTCCCATGAGTATAATGACAACAGGAATTGGACTTGGTGTATTTTTCCTAAGCTTTTTGGGGGAGGGTACAAGGGTTGGGAGGCTGGACCTGGGATGAATGGGAAGCAAGTATGATCATAGTACATTATGTGAAATTCCCAATTAGTCAAAAATATATTTTGTTGGAACAAAAGGAAGAAATAAGAGATCATATGATTAATTCCTTCTCTCGCTATAAAAGTATTCTCCCCAACTCCATAGTTCAATTGCTCTGATTTCCGTTCCATCTGAGACACTTGCTGTGGTGCTGTAATTTATTTAACAATCTCTGATGATTGGTCACTTGTCATCTATATTTCTTCACTCCAAAATGTTATCATTTCTATTCAATTCAGGGAGCCCAATCTTAAAAGCAGAATATCTAACCATTTTTCCTCACTTACAAATGGTATTCATTGTGAAGACTTCATAGAAATTTATCCATCTTTTATCATTTATTTTTCTTAATTCTTGAGAAGGAAGTTTCAGTTAGGTCACCTTGATGGCGATAGTCAAATATTGGAGCATGCATTTTTACAAAATAGCTACATTTTCTCTCTCTCTCTCTCTCTCTCTCTCTCTCTCTCTCTCTCTCTCTCTCTCTTCTCAACCTTCAGTTTCCTATAAACCATAGCAAGTGTGTTCAATAATCTAAATTGCATTTAATGAAAGTCACTATTGAAACCAAGTTTCATCCTACTAACGTAAAAACATGTAAAGTCACATTCAGCCATGCATATTAATATATCAAATCAAGAATTGTAACTATATTGAAAAATTTAATCTTTTCCTTTGGTATAACAGTCTGACTGCACCAACTTTTTACATTCCAGCTTCTACAAATCAGAAAATATCAAAAAACATTCGGTTTATCTCTTTCAAGATTAGATTACGAACTTCTCCCCCTGGAACACACTAACCAGTGGGATGCTAAGAGAATAGGCTAATGCATTTGGCTCAGGTAAAGACACTGAAGACAGGGCTTTCAGAATGGAGAGTCTGACCATTTATACCAAAGAGGAGAATCCTCTGTGGGCAAGAGAGCTCAGACTCCTTAAGAGGTTCAAATTTCACCATCATCTGTAAAATATTGATTACAAAACTCAAAGTTTCATTCATTACAAATATTGTCCTGAATTCAGGAAAAATAGGTTCAGTTTTAATTGCCAATTGTGTATATTAAATATTAAAAAATATAATCTTAAACCACAAAATTTCAGATGGACCACTAAAGAACAGTTAGACATTAAAATAGTTCAAATGAAGAAAAATTAAAAAGGAGTATATATGATGAGGAAGTATATAGCCTGTAGGTCCTCTTTCATTTATTATCTGATACTTTATAGGAAAATAGGTTTTCAAACACTCTGTTAGAAAAAAATGATTATTTTAGATTTATATAAATTATATTACATATTCCATAAGGCTGGTAATGGTTTAATATGTGAGTTACAAATTCAGTGATTTTTCTGTAAACTGTCACAGTTGCAAATATTCCTTTCAATATCATGATTTTATAGTCATTATTACATTGTTTGTAATTGTTTTTATACCCAAATGAAGACTTAAATCCAAGTATTGATAGTTTATCAAGCTATAAAGCCACACATCACAACTCCATTTCACCAGAAAAATTATCATGCAAATGTTTAATGAAATTAATAAAATAGATTTAAATGCAGTTGTTGAACTGAACAAGTCAATCCCAAATGCCACACCAAGTCTCAGTACCAAGTACTGTCAATAAGAATCTGGCTAGAAAATGGAAATCACTGTATATATTCAAAACATAAGAAATTGATCACTTGCATATTATGAGGATAGAAAAACCAAACATGAGGTAACTCAGGAAATCTCCACAATGGGAATGTAGGGCTTGAAATTAAAATGGAAGACATGGTGTTACTAGAGCCTGGGAACACATCTGCCACACAGAAGCTGGACTGTATAGGTACATACAGTGCATAGATCTGGGTGACTGACAGTGGAGGATGGAAGGAGGGTTTTAGTTGCACCCACAGGGGCTGCTTCAAATAGGTCTCTCACTTCCGTCTGTTGTGCAATCTGTGGCTGTACCTTCGTAGAATAAAGCTAAAGGCAAATAAATCTGCTATATACATCAAAATAAGAAAGCACAGATATTGAACATGCACAATAAGAACAAAAACATTCTTCTTAGATATTCAGAAATAGGCTAATCTAGGTACTTACTTCTAAAAATTTATCTGTAATTTTTATTATGAATGTGTAACATACCAGTGGTTAATACTTATTTCCAATGCATATAGGATTATTTCTTTCTCTTTACTCACTGTATATTTTAAAACAAACCATAAATATTAAATAAAAATACTAGCAATGGACACTCTCATAATTTCTCTCTTGTAAAGGGAATGTTTTAAGCATTTCAAATCAGTAAGCACAATGTTCACACTGGGTTCCCTGTAGGCTCTCAGTGCCTTCATGGCTAAACACAGCAGAGACTTTTCAGGTCACGATTCACTTCACTGACATCTGTCATTACTACTGCTATTGAAGTTCTTCAGTGTTCTTTAAAAATTATTTGACTGAGGCTTGATTTACATATTAAAATCTATTAAGTATATAATAGTTTGCATAATTTCACAAGTTTGGAAACAAGTGTACAGCCTTGAATGTATCAATACCATCTATGCCATGGTGATTCACACATCTCCAAGAGCACACTCATCACTTGTGGACTAGGAAGGAAGTGCCACTCAGAGGAGGCTGTGAGAGTTTACACCAGTGGTTCTCAACCTTCCTACTGCTTTGACCCTTTAATACAGTTCCTCATGTTGTGGTGACCCCCAACCATAAAATTATTTTTGCTGTTACTTCACAATTGTAATTTTGTTGCTGTTATGAATCATAATATAGATATATTTGGAGATGGAAGTTTGCTGAAAGAGTCATGACCTACAGATGGAGAACTGCTAGTTTGTAGCCTTACCCTGCTTCCAGTTGGCTCTCTCTGCTTCATGTTTGAGTTTAGAATATGATCTTTCGTCTTACTACTTCTGTAGCTGTGCTTCCCTGAAACGATGAACTCTTTCCCTCTGGAATAATAAGCCAAAATAAACTCTTCAATATGTTACTTCCACATGTTACTTATATGGCTATGGTGTTTTATCACAGTAATTGAAAAACAGTACATACATCAATTCCTACTAATACGTGAGAGAACATTTAATTTGTTCTTATTTAAAGCACTTTAACACAAAAATATCAATTTCTAATCAATCTTAAGTTTATACATGCATATACATTACTTTGTGTTCCAGTAATGTAGGAAAAATGCTCATACTAGCTACAAAACAGAACATGGTTTGGAAATAAGTTGAAAAAAATTCTTTGATTTGCAATAAAATTGACAGACAAAGAATACTTTGTGCTAAATAAACTAGGCCAGACATAAAATACAGCAGGAATTTACTTACATGTGGAATTTAAAAAAGTGATCTCATAAATGAGATTGGGGATAGGGTGGGAGTAACCATGGAAGGGTGTTGATTGACTGAATTAAGTAACAATCATAAGAAGGCACAGCTTTTGTTCTATAAAAAACTAGTTTTTCTAGTTCTTAGTAAGATGACTAACTATACATGTTGTGTAGTTTATGTATTTTGAATGTGCAATCAGACAAATAATGCATGGTTTTAGTGTAATAAATCACTATTTACTCTGGTTTGATCATTAAAAAAATATATGTATTAAATTTTTCACTCTACCTCACAAATTAGCATAATTTCTATCAATTAATGAATGCTCACAAGGATAGCTACCCATTTTTATTTCTAGAACTTTTTGTTAATATTGTTAGCATACCATCTTGTATAAACCTTTTCCTGTCTTACCAGTCACCTCCCAAAAATGTGACATGGAGACTTCTTATTAATTATGTAAGCTTGGCCTGTTGCTTAGACTTGTTTCTAACTAGCTCTTATAACTTAAATTAACACATTTATATTAATCTATGTTCTATCATGTGGCATTACCTCTCTTTCATCTTGAATCTCTTGTTTCCTATCCATCTGTTGGTGACTCCCTTGTGCCTGGATTCATCTTCTTTTCCTCTCTCTCTCTGCCTGGAAGACCTGCCTAATTTCTTCCTGCCTAGCTCTTGCCATTTCAGCTCTTTATTAAACCAATCATAAGGCTCCTTGGCAAATATACATCTTCATAGTGTACAAAAAGATTATCTACAATACCATTTTGTTAAAGTACGCAATAAGAAAAGATAATAAATATATAGCACAATTAAAAATACTCATTTACACAAAACTGACCACATTTTTCTCACACAAGTTTTATTATTTTATTTTCAAATGCACCTGGCTTACTACTCACAAGATTTTTGGAGAAATGTTAAGGTAGAGAGCTGAGAAAGCCCTTGGTGTATGTGTAAAGAGCAGATAAAGTCCTGGGAATCTCATCTGACATGGGCACAACCATGTCAAGGATGCAATGATCAGGTTCATGGCAATGGTAAAGCCTTCCCAACCCTAGAGTAAGGCTCAGAGGGATGGCAAAGCCTTCTTCTGGTCTGAGTGCAAATGTTGGCTTTGTGTGTGTAAAAACTAGCATCTGCAGCTCCCACCCTGCTCTCAGATGTTTACAGTCAGAGGCTGCTCAACTACAAACACCTCCTACCAAGACCAGCTAACTCCTTTCCTCTGTGCTGTACACAATAAATGCCCTGAGGTTCCAGGTCATAGTATAGTAAGTGGAGCTCCATCAGAGTGTGCACGATCCCAGCTTTTCTGTGTACTTGTCCTTGTGTCTATTCTTTCTTTGTTCCCTCATCATCCCAGTCAGGTTTCCTGAACCAAGTGGTGCAGCATGAGGGATACTATAAAGACTTCTTCAGAAGTCTATGTTATAGATTGCTGCAGGCATAGCTGGAAGAAAGATGAAGGACTTTGTTGCCAGTCCTCTTTGTATATCATCTAATTCTCTGCTATACAACCTTAAGTATGTTGGAATCAATGTAACATATAAACATACTGAGAGTCAGCCAGAGAAAAACAAAAACTCTTTGCCTCGAGGTTTTTGCTACATGAATACAAGTTTGATTATGTCTGAAAGGTCAGTAGGAAAGTCTTCTCTACGCTTGAACGGTTGAATGCCTGTCAGTTTTCTTGCTGAGCTATGACCTGATTTTCTCTTCTACCGAGGCTAGGAAACTGTTCAGCTTACCTGGAAATAAGTGTTAAAGAAGATAAGAGAGTTAAAAAAAATGAAACTCAAAATTTATTCATTAGTTTCATGAAAAGATTATTGCTTACGGTGAGTCAGACATTGTGGTATTCTCTGAGAGATCTAAAGGTGTCTGTAGACCTCTTTAAATTCATGATGCTTCCAGCCCTTGGGTGAAGAAAATATAGTTCTTAGTACAGGTGCATAAATATCAACTATGTGTCTTCTAATTACTTCAGTCAAATTTACAAAAAGGAACGTCCAAGAAAAGTGAGTAAAATAATACGATTTTAACTTTGTAATGAAATTATATTATTTCTTTCCCCTTTCATTCTCCCCCATTTTTTATATCTCCCTATAAAATCAAACTAACAGATAAGCCAAGAAAAAGGATTAACTTATTATATTCTACATCATTTGAAGAGATAACTGTCTTATATAGACACTGAGATAATATTAGAAGCCTATTGAAGTTCTTTTTTTAATTTAATTTTATTTTATTTTACAATACTATTCAGTTCTACATAACAGCCACAGATTCCCTTGTTCTTCCCCTTCCTGCCCCCTCCCCTTCCCCCCCAGTCCACCTCCCATTCCCACCTCCTCTAGATCAAGGCCTCCCCCGAGGACTGAGATCCACCTGGTAGACTCAGTCCAGGCAGGTCCAGTCCCCTCCTCCCAGATTGAGCCAAGCATCCCTGCATAAGTCCCAGGTTTCAAACAGCTTACTCATGCAATGAGCCCAGGGCCTGGTGCCACTGCCTAGATGCCTCCCAAACAGATCAAGCCAATCATACACTTCATCAAGTAAATAGGAAGTGCTACTTTGCCAAGTACAGTAATTTTGCATTAAGGTCAAGTCTGATCTAAAAAGAATTCAAATACAAAAAAAAAGAAGCAAAATAAGAGCAAATTAAATTTAGTTTAAATTTCCCTGAAAAAAATGTGGGAAATGGGTAAAAATATAAGGTGTCTCATTTTTTGTCTCTCTAATCTTTCTTACCTGTATTAAAGTGAATTTTTAGTCATCTTGGAAACACAATGAATGTCTTCAAAAATTATTTTGAATTCATAAAGCAGATAACTGTATTTTATCCGATGAACCATGAAATGAGCGCTGGAAGAGCACACACACTCTGCAGGATCACATCTGTTTTATTTCAGCATGAGTTGGTTCCTCTCCCTAAAAGTCACCATTGAGAGTAACATTTGATTATCCATGTCCAGTTTCAGAGACATTTTCTTCATGACATGTGATTCATGTATCATTATTATGTAGTTCATGTATTAAATGAGCACTTAAATTTGGATGATGCATTGCATATTGGTATTTACCTTCACAAATGTAACACCGTTTTTAATAGCACTCAACTAAGTTCTTTTGAGGTCCACTTAAGCAGAAGGTACTTTTGTACAGCAGACAGAGCAAGCTCTTCCCGTAAGTGGCTTTGTGTAGAAGTGATTCCAACCACAGGTAACAATTGTCATTAGAGACTATAACATAATATTTAAAAATAAGGATTAGTGAGCATTTGAAAATAGAAGAATGAGAAACTGTAAAATGTTTATGTTTGAGAAAACTGCTGTATGAGCTAAGAACTTAAAATGCATGGCTTCTTACCAGAGGGTGCCCCTTCTCTCGTTTAGACAGTGATACTATGCAACCTCATTGGTTCAAGAGGAGGATGGTAGAGCTGATGAGAGAAAATACGGTTCATTTATGAGACACCTCAGGAAGCACTCCACACAAATACACAGAAATTAAAGAGTGCCTGCCTTTGAGAGAGAATTGGTCCATGTGACACTCATTTGTGCACTTTAAAAGTGTGCACAGCTTGAGAGGATCATGGATATAACTTGGGGCTCATATTGAGATTTTAAGACAAGTCCAAAGTAAGCTATACATAATTTCTAATCAATCCTTAAATTGTCAATCCATGGACAAAGAGAAGAGTCCACCAGGATCAACATGATAAATAAAACCAGCCAGCAGTGATGCAGAAAACAAAAAGCAGGTAAAACTATCAGAAGACACCTTAGAAAGATTTCTGAGTTTATGGTTTAGAAAGGTGAGTGTTTTCTATAACAGGATCAGTAAAACTCAGTAGAAAAAAAACATAATTAAAAACTATTAAAAATTACCAGTTGAAGATGAAATGAGTAGATAAAGAGAATGTGGTGTGTAAACTGAAATTCCTAGAACAAAATTCCCCACAGGGTTCCGCAAGTGTTATTTTTAGCTGGGAGGACAGACACCCTGATCCAAGGTAGTTTTTCCAAGGTAAGGATTGTCCTTTACACCTTGGCTTTGCTAACACCTACAGCATCCTACATGTGGGAAACCCAGATTCAGAATTTGTGGTAGTGAGAGAAGGGTGGTGCTCATGCTTCTTACTGGGCAGGGCAGGAGTTTGCAGGGAGGATTTTGCAAGGCTAATTAGCTGATTAGAACTTTCTGTTTGTGTAGAGTGGAAACGCTACCAGCCCATAGCCAAATTTCCTCGGACGGTCTTTAATCACTTAAATAACTATGAATTGCTACTCTGTGATACTTTTCCTGCGGAGAAGATGAACAAGTATCTGCTAGCTCCATATAGGCAACTAATAACAGACTGAAGTATAATTTGGTGAACCAATGAGTTTATTGGTGTTGCATGCAGAGGTATAGGTGAGTTAGTGAGAGAGGTGGGGACAGTTCAAAGGCATTTGCATTACTCCCAATCCCATTCTACCCTAGATGATGGCTCACTTCAAGGCAGCAGTCCTTGAGCTTCCTGAACCATTTCTAGGAAGTGAACTAGTGGGTGACTTTTCTCAGCCACTGCTTACAGTTTCTGTCATTTATGGAGGAGGCCCACGGATCTTAGCGGATCTTACCAGTATCAGCATTTCCAGACTGGTCGTGTTTGTTTACTTTCAGAATCTCTTCCTTCTGGGGTGGAAAGAGTTTCAATTCAATGCTCACCTCTGTGTATTGCCTAACATGGTTTTGACTATGAGATAAACATTTCAGAGATAAGCTTTGTAGAATACTAACTCCCACCAATCCAAAAGCTAAGAATGTGATCAGACAACATCTGAGACCAATGACAGAGATATTTTTTTTCTGTAACCCTCTTGCTTGCTTATTGTTCCTGCCAATAAAATTGGAAAACGTCCTGATTTGTTTTTTTCCTTTGTTCTTTAACTATGCAAGTTTGTGCAAGCACTTCCAAGTTGGAATATATTGTTGGGAAGAAACAGAACCAATGTCCTTATGGCATGGTCACATATTTGGCAAATAATAAATTATCTCTTATTCCTTTTGAGGTGAGACTGCTTTTCGTGTTGGCTGTGTTACAGCTCCAAGGAGGAGACATTTTCAGCAGAGGTGTCACCCGGATCAGCACCAAGTTCCAGCTTGGGTCTTTAGTGTTCAACATTCTCAGTTACTGTTGGTGGGTTATGAGGCCTGACTCTCCTTTGCTTTGCTTGATGGTCTGGTGGTTCATTCTAAACTAGTTGTTTTGACATTCTGCTTTGTTTCAGAGCATTTACTTAGAACGTTTGTTTAGTTTGTTGTATGTGTGTTTCCAGAACATTCTTTGAAAGAATTGGTTTGCCAGCAGTTGGGCTTCCTACTGTGCTTCTGATGTCTAATTCTGCCTCCTCTGTAGATGGCTGCAAGCTGGCTCCTGTTAAGTGAGTGCCTCACATAATGGTGCTGAGTAGTGTGAGGGTCCTGGAGAAGTCCCACCAAAGACCATCATTCATGTAGGCAATCAGCAAGAACATTTTTTATTCTAGCATGCTGGGGCCTGCCACCCCACACAAAGGCAAAATGGCGAAGACCTTGTGAGGGAAGTGGGATCCTCTTAAGCACAGCCAAGGGGAGGTCCTAAGGCAGTTAGATCATCTTAGGTAGGATTTGGCTCAAGCATCTGGCAATCATATTAATATATTTTAATTGGCCAGGGCTAGTCAGGGACTGGTAAAGGCTACAGTTTTGTATTTTGGGGCAGGCCTGGACAAGTCCCAGGCTTTGTCCTTATTTGATTATCATCTTGAGTTGTTTATGGCTTAGACAACCAGGCCTCCTTGTCCTTGCTGTCGGGGGTACTGGACATTGATGGTTCTTTTTTTTTTTTTTTCTCCTGGCTCTTCCTCAAAATTTACTTGCTCCGTTCCAAAAAGCAGGGACCAAGGCCTAGTTATTAACTGAGTTATTAGGGCAGGTTGTCATGATATTTGCCTGGCCCTTTCAAGTAGAAGAGTCACTTCTTTCCTCATCTCAGCAGGGGTACCACTGTCAGTGGGGCTCTCCCCAGGCCCTGCAATGTCCTCACAGGGACTGCTTATTTGGAAGATTCACAAAGGAATAATCATGCAGTGTCTGAACCACTTTATATTTCTGTAAATTGAAGAATAAACTTAAGAGATGATGGGAATGGATCTTGGCATCAGAGCCAACGGGGCCCCCTGCTCATAAGCTACAAATACATCTGATCCAAAGTATCAGGTCCTCTAGCTCATATATTAATAGAAGATTGAACTTTTCAGGAAAAATCCAAGACTTTTTTTTTTTTGTGAAAGCACTGACATGATATGATAGCTGGCTTTATGTTCAGTAATATGGTGATTTAACTTGTTAAAAAATAAGGAATATTTCATATTCCTTGTGTGTGTGCATGTGGGTGTGCTCATGCTAAAAGTCCTAAGTACAATACTAAAAATCATGAAAGAAAAATCTACTTTAATTGAAATTTTAAAACTACCAAGGAAAAAATGAATTTTTTTTGACAAAAATGTAAGCTTTAGAAGTGCATCATTTCTTTTAAAAATATGTTTATTTTATAATTAGTTTAATTTTACATATCAGCCACGGATTCCCCTGTCCATAAAATAAATAATTAAAATGTACTGTATTCAGCTTTCTAAGGTGTATACACCTTAGAAAGCTGTAAAACAGGTAAATTACATCCAAAGATAAATGACTAAAATAATAATGATCAAAGCATAAATTGGTGAAAGTAAAAGCAAACAATATAGAAAATTCAAGGAAACTAAGTGTATTTGTAAAGACTGTAAAATTGGAAAAGCCTCTCAGATGATCAGAAAAGGAGAGTGTAAACGCACCAATCCAGAGTCATTTCTAAAAGAGAAGCCATCACTGTGGAGCTGTCAACCAATAATGAGAAAGTGAACACTACAAATCTACTTCCATAAATTTGACAACTTAGATCTAGCGTTTGAGACACATGGTTAAGGAAATAATGTACAATCTAAAAAATTCCTAAGATTATTTCCAAAAAAGCATTTCTGTTGCTAGAGTTTTCCTGCCTGGCCCACAGTCAGGACAAATCTTTGTCACTTGCCAGTCCCAGAGCCGCTCAGACCCAACCAAGTAAACACAGAGACTTATATTGCTTGCAAACTGTATGGCCGTGGCAGGCTTTTTGCTAACTGTTCTTTTATCTTAAATTAACCATTTCCATAAATCTATACCTTGTCACATGGCTGGTGGCTTACCGGCGTCTTCACATGCTGCTGGTCATGGCGGCGGCTGCAGTGTCTCTCCGCCTCAGCCTTCTGCTTCCCATAATTCTCCTCTTTCCTTGTCCCACCTACTTCCTGCCTGGCCACTGGCCAATCAGTGTTTTATTTATTGACCAATCAGAGCAATTTGACATACAGACCGTCCCACAGCACATTTCTAAGTAAATATCAATATGTAGTTAATTCCTATGGGTCAGTGATCAGAAGTGTTTGTGAAAAGACATGAAGAGAAAGCCCACAAAGGAGCCATAATGAACTCCATACTTACGTCGTTCTTCAAAGAGAAGTGAGCAATGTAACATCCATTGATTACTACTACATGTAGGTAGGCTAGAAAAGCCGGAGTGCTCTGTTTCAAGAGAGACAGCATGGGAGTGGGCTTCTGAGATGGGTGGAGAGAAAGGGAGATAATGGAGGGAAATATACGAATAACAGATATCACATGTTTTCTCTCATGCAGAAAATAGATACCCATATCCTACATGGAGGCAGAAGAGGGACTATTTCAGAGGAGAATGAGAAAACAAATGCTGAGGGAAAAGAGAAAAGGTAATGGTGAGTAAATGCACTGTGTACTAGCACACCACATACTGAACTGTCACAATGAAACTCATTATTCTGTAAGTTAATTAGAGGGGAATAATAATGGCTTAGATTTTGAACTATTATTTTTCCCTTTGCCTTGTATCATATGGTATGAATTAATATTTTTATTTTGACTCATTTTGATTTTGTTTAACATTACTTTAATAAGTGAGTCTTAGTTTCCTTCTTTCTTAAATTGTGCACTAGTAAAAATCATGTAATTAATTAAAAGATACAGTTCTGCTTAACACATAGAAAAGTATTTAAATTTTAATAAACATTGATATCTCCAACTCAATACATCCTAAAACATTAAATACTGTAGAAATAACCACCATCATTTTCATCTAGCATAAGACCAAATTGTTTTCAGTTTTCAACCAGCATGACTTTTTCTGTATACTGAGAGTCAGGTAAGCAAAGGTCTCTACTCACTGGAGCTACAGCAATGACCATTCACTCTGATTCCAGTCCACTGCTACTGCAGTACCTGTATCTTAGTTTTCTGTTGAATTATTTAATTCGCTATTATTTTTCTAGTATAATCTTTTCCTCTTATTCTTTAAATAATCTTTCCATAATTTGATGTCTGTCTTATTTATTATATTCCGTTAAGGGGATTTTATTTTCTGATTTTTATTTCCTAGTTCCATCATATACAATTATTTTCTTCCCCAAAATTGTGGTTGATATTTCTCTGATTATACCCAAAGTACTGTCTATAACTTTAGTACTTATGTATCAAAATTGTTTGATTTCAGCCCTCTCAATGAACCTTCTTCTGCAATTGCATATGGTGATGAACATCTCTGTTTTAGCCTTTGTACTTTTTGTTTTATGAAGCTTGAGGAGAGAGACATAAGAAGCCAGGAGTATAAGTTAGAGTCATGATTGGAGGTTCATTTTCTTCAGCTTTTAGAACCCAGCAGTGAAGCCATAGCCAAACCATTTGGTGATTGCGAAGATCAAACACCCAAGTTTATGTAGCAACCCATCGAGAAGTGTGGAAGTCTTAATACAACAATCATAACTTAGTGTTCAATGTGTGGTATAGTCATCTTTGCACCCTATGATTACCTCACTCCTGAAGAACAGCCAGCACATTCAACAAGTGTGGCCGGTAAATAAATACCTTAGAAGCCATTCTTAGAGATGGAGCTTGATTCAAGTGTGTGTGTGTGTGTGTGTGTGTGTGTGTGTGTGTGTGTGTGTGTGTGTATAAGGATAAAATTTCATTATGATATCAAGATGGCATTTATAATTCCCACTATAC